ATTCCTCACAGGTTCAAGGAAAAACCTGGTGGGGAAACCTTTTTTTTTCTTTTTTAAGAAAACAGAAGCACAGAGGTGATACAAAGCTAAGAAACAAGTCAAGCTATGATTAAGAAAAGCTTATCGGCATCAGTATTTAAAGTGTTTGGCTCCAAAAGTCACAATGACTTGTATGAATGATTAGAACAACATAAATTACAGAATATTAAAAAAAAAAAGAAACTAAAAAACTACAGTATTTTCATCACAAAATTGATTAAAAACACCTTAAATGTCATTGAAGTTAAAAATACTGAATGACAAATATGACAATGAATAGATTTTTTTATGTTTTGGAGCCAAACTCTTCTTTAGTTACATCCAACATAAAAGGCCCTCTGGTAGGTGATTTATTTTGGTTGTACCACAGACTGAACTCACTTTATCGCAACAGATCATGAATAGCAAAAAAAGAAGATAAATACAATAATTCAGATAAAGTGCACAAGTGCTCATTCAAAAAAATAAAATAAAAGTGGGACGCACATATACATTCATCGGGAGTTCATTCACACAGACGCACAACACACAACGTTCAAGTGGGCCAGACAGCCAGTTAAGACGTCAGAAACCAAAATCTCCCAAACTGGTGTGTGCTGTTGTGTTGGTCAGCGAGTGTCGATAAGGCAGGCAGACAGCCAATTGTAAAACACTAACTTGGTCATATGACATACCTCAGACACGGCAGAGTTCTGACAACGACAGGAGAACGCCTTTTCATGTCAAGGGTCTGAAGTGAAGGTGAAGTCTTACCGATTAATAAAGTTATTTAATCCTTTTTAGGTAAAAAAAAAAAAGAAAAGAAAAAAGTTCATATTATTTTGTGCTAGCTTTGACACTGTAGCGTTCTGCTGTTAGCTAGCTGCTAGCAGACTGTTAGCTGGAATTGCGTCGCTGCATTAGCATGTGTAACCTTGGAGACAACTTATCATTGAATAGGCAGCCTGGAGGCAACTGTATCGCTTTCTGCATTAATGTAGTTTTTAAATAAATGTAACTGAAAAAAGGAAACCAGCAGGACTTTTTGGTTTTTTTTTTCCATTTTTCCGATACGTTCCTGCTTATAAAAAAAGCTTCACAGAGCTTTATTCATGAAATGCTGGAAATGTGTGGAAAGCAGACAAACCTTCACTCTGGGCTGTCTTTTTTTCTCCCCGTGCTTTTCACAGTCCTTCCAGGATCTGTCATGTCACTGTCAGAACTCTGTCGTTTACTTCTGTAGCAGTGACCCTTTTTTAAAAATCTCTATGTCCATTCCCCTCCTCCTCCTCCTCTGTGCAGTGAAAGCGAGATTCAAGTGCAGCTTCATCCTCCAAAGTAAACTTTAACTTTCACAAGTGTTACAGAAACTTGCTGCCCTTTTACGACCGTCCACACAAGGAATGGCTCATGCAGACTCATGCACACTGCAAATAATACAATTTCAAGGTCTTCCGAATATAAATAGAGGAAAAATGTCAAAATAAAGCCACAATAACTGAGTACAAAGTCCACATTCATTCACACGTTTTTAAAAACACCCTCCTCACCCTCGGCAAGCATCCTCTGCTTTCCCAGCAATCACCATCTCTCTGCTGTGCTTGGTGACGTTTCACCGTATTTCATAATTTCAGTTCTCGTGGAAAATTTGTACCTCTTTTGTTTTTTTTTCTTGCTCTCTCTCTTTTTTTTTCTTTTTTTGCTTAAGTAGCCAAGGCATTTTGCACCAAGGAGTAAACATAAATCATCATCTTATAAATCTCAGAGGTAGAACCCTGACAATTTGCTCAGAGAGTAGATTGGCAGGTAGAAAGAGAAGACAGACCAACGTAAACAGATGCTGTCTGTGTTTAAGACGGTGTCTGTGAGTCGCAAAAGCAGCAAACGAGAGATGACACGAGGAAAAAAAAAAGCTGTGACAAGTTTAAATGTAAATGTTCGGGGTTGTTTCTGTGCAATCCTGAGAGCTGCTTTTCTCTCAGACGTAGAGGATGACGTTGCTGTCTGCAGGACAGTGAAGGCCTTCGGTGGAGGGGTTCACAGCTCGGCACGAGGGGGGCTGGGGCTGCTGGCCGGCCGCCGGGTGACAGCTTTTCGGGTGAGGAGAGTCGCAGTCGTCCGACGTCAGCTCTGCGATGTCGTCTGACTGAGTGTCTGACATCTCCAGGTCGCTGCGGATGCTCTCCGGCTGAGCCAGGGTGACGTCTCTGAGCCCCTCCCTGATTGACGTTCCCGGTGACAGCCCCAGTGCCGAGCCAGACAACGCCCCGCCCCTTCTGGAGCTGCAGTCCTGAGGCTCCTCCCCTCCTGAGGCAGTCGCCATGGCAGCACAGCCCGGATGCGGGGTTAAGTCCTCTTCGCTGGTCAGGCAGAGATGGCTGGGTTTGGTCTCAATGTCCACCTGGATCTCCAGGTTGGTGCACTCCCTGCAGAGTCACATGATTTAAAACACGTCAGTTGGTGTGAAAGAAGAAATATCAGATAAGACAACATCTACTGCACAGATTCAGCTCAAATAGGAAGCTAGTGGTAGGGTTCACCTGTAGATTGTAAATAAGATGGAAGTAGCCTCTGAAAAATGAAGCCCCTTTATGGATGTATGGTGAACCTGAAGTTTTTTAAACAGCCAGCAGGGGGCATCTAATCAGTTTCTTAAAAATGTGAGAAATTAGCTGCGCCTTTCAGTTGATTTATGAGCTTGGTAAACATTTTTTTAATGAATACATCTAAAGTAGGGTATGCACTAGGAAAGAAAAGTGTTGCTCAATAACAATGAGGTTAAAAAAAGTTTTTATTCTTTTCTGCCTTAAGATGAAAGACAATTTTGCAAATAACTTGCTGTAATTTTCCATGTTTTAGAGGAAAAATCCGTCAGGTTACATCACCAGCTACACAAAAACGCCCGCACATAAATGCAAAGCTCAATTTCACAGAACCTGCATGCATGGGTTGTTAAAGAGAAAGATTAGAAACCAAAGGAACACCAATGACTTGCTTTAAGAGCAGCTGCAGACCTTTCTGAAGCGATAAGATGTCACGATTCATTTCATGTTAGTGCCTGTTAAAGTAAATCTCTATATAATCTAGAGAAAGATCGACACAGCTTTAGAAGACGGCAGCATGTGATCATGGTGTAAAGCTGCCAAGTCCACAGATTAGTTTTAACGCTGTTATCTCAACCACATCAAATCTCAAATCTGCTGGAGCAGCAGGAGGAGAGAGAAGAGAAGTTTCCTCTCCTACCTGTCAGGTAGAGTGTAGGAGGAGATGATGGATCCGGCCATTCCTCGGGTGCTGGCACAGTCGCTCCCGGCTCCCAGTCTGCCCGTCTCTCTCTGGGCTGATTCTTTGGCAAGTTCCCCTGCTTGAACCTCCAGCCTGAAGCATTAAAATGCCCACATTAGCATTAAACATCAACCAGCATTTGCACGGCATAAATAAAAAAAATTACATCCATTGGTACCCAAAACAAGCCTTGTACTCTTGAGCTTTAGTTACTTCATCCCTTATCCTCACCTGCTGTACTTGCTTGTGCGAGTCCCCAGAGCGCCACTGGCCAGAGTGTTAAAGTGTGGAGTGTCGCCCAGAGTCCCTGGGGCTACGGAGAGCCCTTCGCTGGGAGAGGTGGTGCTAAGACCGCTGACCGCCCCTTCCAGACTGCTCTCACCGAGGCTCGGAGACTTGAGGGCTCGCCAGGCGTCCGCCACTGCGTGATTGTACAGGAAACATTAACTTTAGTTTAAAGACGCCAGGAGCTACATCCACTTTGCTGAAAATGTTACCAGCTTAGCGTACCCACCTGTGATTGGTCCATCGTCCTCATCAAAGTCGATCCGCACACCGCGCCCTTTTCCTCTGCTCACACCACAACCACCTCCTCTGCACAGAGAGATGGGCACGACACCGTACACGTAGGCCAACATGATGGGCACACCGATGCCTGTGAGAGGGGCAAAGCCAAGCAAACACACGTCTGACGCCTGTTTGTCTAATTTTAATATCACTCGATGTATAAAATTTCACAGAAATAAAAAACAAAAAAAAAGTGATTTATTGTCTTTTTCTTGGCTGTTATTTTGCTCACATATGATGAGGCACAAAGAATCAACTGTACAAACTGCAGCAATTTTAAAAGACGCAGATTACGCTGGTTTCTTCAAAACAGCTCTTGCTTGTTGTGGTTTTGTTGCTTGAATTATGACTTATGCAAGAATAAAGAAAGAAAAAGAGAAGGTGAAATAACACCTCTCATTATCCAGAAACACGGAGTACTTTTCATTTCGCGTCAAAGCTCTTTCCTTGTTTGAGGCTATCACCAGTGATGTGTCTAGACAAACTGTCCTCTTTCCTTTTTTTTTTCTTGGCCATCATCTTCAAACGATCGTGACACATAATATCTGACGGCCCCGTCGGGTTTCTTACCCACGCTGACGGCTGCGATGACAGGAGCGGTGATGATTGACAGGGCCACGCCCCCCGTGATGGCCAGATTCCTTCGGTGACGAGACGTCTTCTTCAGCTCGTAGTGGGCGTGGATCTGTGGGAGAGGAGAGGGACGCACGCCGTTTAACACAAACGCTTCATGACAAAGGAGGAGGTGGCGGTTAATGGATATCTGGTGTTTTGGTGAATCGAAATGACAAGAACGTAAACACAGAAATTATCCAATTCACTGTGATTATTTACAGGTTTATGATCAACTATAATAACAGCGAATACATTTGGGATGTGTGCTGCTCATTTATCACTGTTTCTGTTGTTTCCTACTTATTTTCTTTATGTTTCAATAGATTTGTAATTGATTTTTAGCTCATAGAAGAAAAACTACCAGAAATAAATGTCTTTATTGTTGCCATTGCTTGACTGGGATACAAAACAAGGAGCTCTTATTTCAAAATGATGTTGAAATAAGCCGATCTTTGCCTTTCACTTGATATCTTTAGTTCTTCCTGACTCACACAGGAACTCGGCTACAAGTCAAATTTCCCGAGAATCCCCCAGATTTATGTTTCTACATCTACGTGCTTTTCCAGTATCGGTGGTGTAACCGAGGACAGGGCTGTTTTGTATTTTAGATATATGAAATATCAGACGTGTAGTTCTTGTGTTGCTGCTCTTCTTGTGGGACAAACACAGAAAAACAACTATGAGCCCATTTCGCTAGGCCTCATTGAGTGACATTAAAGCAAGTTTTCCCTGCAGGGATTTGCCCCAAATTACCACAGAGGTAATATATTACTCTGAAACTTCAAAGTTTCCTTCTCAAGAACTGAATCTGTGTCGCGACTTGTCGTAGAGGAACAAAGACTTCCTGGAAGGTTATTAACTGCCTGAGATGGCACGCCTGGAGAAATTTCAACACGAGGGAAAGAAACAGAGTGGGTGAGCCGCTGCGTAGCTCTCAAACAGGCTTTCATAAGTTTGTAGTTTCATTGTTATCCACAAGAGAGCGCTGTAGCATGTTAATGCACCACAAATCTCCTGACAAACGCCCACTGCCAGTTTCTTTCACTCTAAATGAGGGGCTGTTGTCTCTTAGTCAATACAATTTTTTCCCCTGACAATAGGAAAGTATAGCCACCTGTGAAAAAACATGACACAGCTGTGATTTACAGGAACAAAAGGAGACTTTAGAGGCTTTAAAAATAGCTGTTTTCTTTTTTTTTAATATAGAATGAATGAGGTTTTTACTTAGAATAGAAAGAAAAAACAAAAGAAACAGAGTTTTTCTACCTAAGAGGGAAAGCTTTGAACTAAATAGGGAGCAGAAGGAAATGAAATTCACAGTGTTTCTATTTGACATCGTGTGACGCTTTCACACAGCAGCCTAAGTTTAACTACGTCTATCAGACGGGGACAGGACCGAGGTCTGTGTGGAGGTCAGTGTGAATGGAAAGTATCTGGTGATTCTGACGGGATCTGAAAGTACTTTTCGTCATTTCTAGAAAACTTCTGACGCCGCGCTGAAACTTAGAAAAGATTTTGGTTCTGCAACGCTGTACATTCCAGATCGTCACTGAAGCAGGATTGTGAAAGAGTGACTGCAGAAGTGCTGCTAACTGTTTAAGTGTGTCGCCACATCTGTGTGGTTTGTGCTTCTGGTTTCTTTAGCTGTGCGGATGGGTGATAAACGCCAAGTGGCGAGATCTTACAGATAACAACAAAAGAAAAGTGCCGCTCGGCGTGAAAGACATTTCACTTAAAAATCTACGTTGTAGACAAAGTGCAGCTTTAGATTATGAACAGTTTCACAACATGTTGAAGTTTCCATTTAGAGAGCCTCTATTTCCTTTTATCGACTCGAAGTACTTCAAAACTGAGTGAGACATAAACAGGAAATTAAATTTTTTTGGTAACTTTTAAAAAAGTATCTAAAATTAGAATACACGTTAAATACTCTGTAATTATTTTCTCAGATAACTAATTAACCATGTGTGTGAACAGTGAAAAATGCCAGCCACA